AGATTTCAGCTAGCAAAATTTAACTTGTTTTAAGTCTTAAGTGTGGTTAAAAATTATTCTTACTYATCATTATACATATATTTTTTAATATGTAATGATTAWAGTAATTATTATGTATTATCATTCATTCATATACAGCATATATGTAGGTATGGTATACACCTACAGTCGATTCTCGATAATTCAAGGGGAATAAAAATGAATTTGATTTAGGTATGTACTTTTCAAATTTATATATATATATATATATATTTAAATCACAACACAACTTAAATACAATAAAAAAAAAAAAAATATCTAATGGGCAAGAAATAGGGATTTATTGAGATTTTCGAGTTATCCTAAATTTCGAATATACCTATTTATCATATAACAATCTAAAAGTTAAAAAAAAAAATTAAATGTTCGGTAAAAATATAGTAAATATACTAATTTGTCAATGAATTCAAGCTTTTTTATTTGGTTATTTTCATATTTATTYATTATGTCTCTCATAGTCTCTGTCTAAMAATATTGACTTTTTATGTTTTTTTTTTTTTAATATGATAAAATTACTACAATATGAAATTTATTATTAATGAAATTAAGGTTCTTTATTAGTTGAATTTATAATAAATTTAAATTTAATCGGTTACTGGATGCATCTTTATCGTAATAAGACAAAAATGTCGTCTATAGATGATGGGAAACGATTCTTAATAGCATGTATTTATATATATTTATTATATCACTTTAATTTGAATAAAAATATATTAATTGCCTCATCCGTTTTACACACGAATAACATCATGGCAAGAAAATAAAAACCCAGGAGCAATTCTTGTGGAATTGAACTGCAATCAATCACATGGCACATAATATATAGGTACTATAAAATGACTCCAAATACGTAGACGAACTTGGCAGTCTCAACATACCCAACGATCGGACCTGACGCCGACACCACCACACGACGAGTGCGCAAATTTTAAAGTTTTTAAACAATACCAAATCGTATAACTTAATACACACACACATAAATATTTAACTAATGTCCACCGTCACCAATGTTAACTAAAAAAATTTCAAAAAAAAAGATATTAATATATTCAAATATTTGTTTCAATGATTGCCCTTCGAAAAATAATCAAGTGTATATTGATCTCAATATTGTAATCTGCAGTACACTACAGTTAGGTAACTTTTATGTTGGAATTCTTACCTTAGACGCAGTAAGTCCGTCGTTTATATTTGACGTTTTCGAYTGCTGCTTTTGAACTCTTTTGTTTCTATAAAAATATAATAATAATTAGTTGAACRAGATATCGTAAGAGCTATGAGGTAGGTATAATTTGAAACTATTCATCGTGCATATTGACGTGCGACGTTATAAATTATAAATACGACTTACGATAGCTCAGCATCTACATCCACAGGTCCACAACTTTTTTGGTGGTCCATCTGRCCTTTGACATCGAGAAACATCTGTGATTTAACCTTTGGACTTCCTTGCATATCTACTCATTCAATTAGTTCACAGAAATTAACAAAAAAGTTATTGATTTTTAAACCACTGTCAAAATAGGT